GGCATCCCCAGTAGGGGGCGTGCAGGAAGCAGCTGGATCAAAGTTTCCCTCTCACCAACGTTCTCTCTCTCTAAAATCAATAAAAATATATTTTTTAAAAAAACATAACAGAATTGAGATGGACTTAAAATAGTCAGCATCAATAATCTCCTCTTCCAGGAAGCCCTGTAGGGAGCCTGCGGCCTTCCCTGTCCTCATGCGTAGGAAGCTGAAGCCTCAGGTCATTGCTGAGGATTAAATGAGATAACGATCAAGCGCCAAACCCAGCACAACTTCCACATATAAATATCAACAGTGCCTTGGCTTCTATTTTATATATATATATATAATTGATTTTTTTACAGAGAGGAAGGGAGAGGGATAGAGAGTTAGAAACATCGATGAGAGAGAAACAACAATCGGAGTCCATTAGTCCGTCGAGTATGGAGTCCACATGGCCCATATGGCCCACTGCAGGGAAACAGTAGCAAAAGAGCCCCACAGGTCCCCAGAGTCACATGAGTCCCAAGAGAGCACAAGAGCGAACTCCTTTGTTTAGGGCAGTGGTCGGCAAACTCATTAGTCAACAGAGCCAAATATCAACAGAGGACGACAACTGAAATTTCTTTTGAGCCAAATTTTTTAAACTTAAACTATACAGGTAGGTACATTGTTATCAACTTAATGAGGGGACTCCTAAGGCTTAGGAAGAGCCACACTCCAGGGGCCAAAGAGCCGCATGTGGCTCGCGAGCCGCCGTTTGCCGGCCACGGGACTAAGCCATCCCTGAGCACGCTGGGGCAGCTCTAAGGGGAGGCTAGCATCCTACTCTTTCCATCAAGAGTTTACTTAAAAAAAAATAAAGACAAAAAAATAAAATTTAAAGAGTTCACTTCAGCCCTGGCGGGTGTGGCTCAGTTGGCTGGGTGTCATCCTATGCATTAAAAGGTCCCCAGTTCGATCTGGGCAGGGCACGCGCCTGGAGCTGTGGGCTGGATCCCTGGGAGCGTGCAGGAGGCAGCTGATCCATGCCTTTCTCCGTCTCCCTTTCCCT